TGAGGAATTGGAGCCGAACCGCGAAGCACGAATGATTTCGCGCCTTCGAGAGCGCCCTTGTCTCCTCAGTGGTGAGCGAGGGGGAGGGGGAAAAATGGAGGAGGAAGAGGAAGAAAAGAGGAAGGATGAGGATGAGGAGGGCCAGAGGCACGGGCAGGGGATGGACGCGAGACGGAGGGGATGGTGGAGGAGGAAGAGGGGGCGGCAGGAGGGAGGGAGGTGCGAGGATGGGATGATGAGGAACAGGATGACGTGTAAATGGAATGATGGGGAACGGGGGGAGATGGATGCGGCTGGGGAGCACGAGGGGGGAGAGGAGGGAGGGGGGCAGAAGAGGGGGAGGCAACATGAGGGAGGTCGGAGGATGCTGAGGAAGCGGAGGAGGACAAGGACAAGAAGAGGAGGGGGAGGAAAAGGAGGAGGAGGAGGAAGAGGTTGTCGAAGGAGGAAGGGTGAAGGCGGAGGAGGAGGGCATAACGGGGAGGTTCTAGTTGTCCGTCGACGTATTCTAGGCCTGGTTGATTCCAAGAGGGGCCACGGGGGTTTGACCTTTCTTGGGGCGGAAGGATGGGGGATGGGGGCTCGGGAGATGTAGTGCGAGGTTGGACTCATTGTCGCATCTCATCAAAGACTCCGGGGGCTCTGGGGGTTGGGGGGCATGTGGGGGGAAGGCAGGACGCAAACACATACATAGCAGGAACAGGGGGATGAGGAGGGCGGGGTGGGAAGGCGAAGAGGGGGGCGACAAGGGGGGGGCTCAGGGAGAGGCGGTGGATGATGGGGGGAGGAGAAGCGGGATAGAAGAGAGAAAAGCAGGATAGCGAGAGAGAGAAAAAGAGAGAGAGAAAGAAATCGGAAAGGACGAGAGACTGATAACGATCAAACCCCAAAATGGGCGCAGAGAGATGACCCGGTGCATCGACAGGAGTGGTGGATGATGGGGAAGGAGCGAACGCCCACTGAGGGGGGCGACCCATCCTGTCACGGGCGCCCGCGCGGCCCCGTCTGGAGCGCGCAAAGCAGTTAATGTCTAGAACGCGCACGTCACCATGGACGACGGGGCATGTCCAGCCTTTTCTGCTTGCAAATAGTAAGGGAGGGAACCCCAAAGCATGGTCAACGATGGTGGTGTATTTCCTCGGCCCACCGGGGTCTGGACGATCGAGCGGGCCATGGGAACGGGCGAACGAGGTGAGACGAGGCGGCCTTTCCCGCGCCGTACTTCGCGGATCATGGCCGCAGTCAAAATATCTGGGATGCCCGCGAACTTGAAAGCACGGCGCCACGCTCCGCGGTCAACGCAGCCATGGCACTTGCAGAGGCGACCAGACACGACGTGCAAGGGCATCGAATGGCAACGGTCTGGCGGCCCGTCCTAAACGCGAACTGACGCAGGGGAGATCGGCCGAGGAGCTGGGCCCCCTAGCTGAGAGAGAACTTGCATGTCGGCCTTCCACAAGACCGAGAGGACAGCGATCGGCCTCCATTTCTTGATGAGCACGGGGCCAGGTGTACATCATGCTCGCCCCAGCTCGACGGGGGGCCCACCGCTGGGTCGCTTAAAAGTCTAAGCTCGAACGGCGAGGCGAGGATTTCGTAGGAATCTCCCGAGGCGTCTAGGAACATTTCGACGGCGATCATTTCGCGACGAGGGCAAGACTTCCCTTTTCCGCCTTGAGGATGAGCTGGCGAACCTTGGAACCCGAAATCGCGCCCACCACCTGTGGCCCCCCCCGAGTCCACCTTCGCGAAATAAGGGGGGGATGCCCCGAGATCGATGGGAGACCGAAAAGAAGTTCTCGGCAATCTTCCGAACCTCTTTCAGGCCCGAGGTGGTATTACCCCGTTCGTTAAACGCGCGTCCTGGCTGCGCGGGGGGGGGGGGGGGCGTCGGTCAGAGCGCCCTTGACTTAAGTGCCGCTCGCACTCTTGGCCGCGCCGCATGTACCTGATCTGTCGGCAAGTCAACGTCTCCGCCGCGTAGTGAAAATGTCGGGGGTTCGGGTGCTTCGCGGTCCGTCGCATGGTCTGAATGCATTTCAACTGCTTGCGCATCGGGTCTCCCGGGGGCTTGCGAGGGGTTCGTTCGGGGCGCGCCCCCCAGTGGGCGTCGGCGGCGGTCGCGACAGCGCGCGCGGGGTCGTTCAGGAAAGGAAGGGGGGCGGCCCATGGCGTCGGTCAGAGGGGGGGGCAAGGGCGCGGGGTGGCGTCGGAGGCGGGGGGGGGGGGCTCGGGCGTCTGAAAGGTCCCCGCGCGGGGCCCCAACGGTGGCGAGAGCGCTTGCGCGGGGGGGGGGGGGGGGCGGGGGGGGGGCGGGGCCGGGGGTTCAGAATGCTTAAGGATGGCCCGGGTCTCCTCTTCACCCAAGGGGGGCCCAGGGGCCCAGAGTGGGACTTCCAGGCGTCTCGCGCCCAGCGGGAAACGTCGAAGCCGCGGGTCGTGCGCTTGGCAGGGCGACGACCCGCAGAGTCGGCGCTTTGGCTAGGACGTCAACTGCGGGGTTGCCCGCGCCCCCGGGGTGACCTCTGCGCCATTCAGGAAAGCGAGCTTGGTGGGGCTGGCGCGCTTCACTCGACAGCGCTTGCAGCGCTGCGACAGGGTTCAAATAGCTGCGAGCACGCCAACGGCCCCATGCAATTTGCCGGACACATCGGGAGTCGTAAACAAATTTGATCCTTGCGCGAGGAGGGAGGAGGCGGGCTTCGTAAGGGGTTGAGTCTTGGTACAGGAGCCATGAGCCCGCTTCGGTGGGAGCAGCGAGTTAAGCTGCGTTGTTTGGCCCCCTGCGCGCGCCCACGTGGAGCGGGCCCTTGCGTCCTGGGCAGACAGGTCCGAATGACGTCGTCCTTGAAAACGCGCGCGCCGTCCGAATGGCGCCCAGGGGGTCGCCCAACGCGTTTCGGCGTCCCGCCTGGCCCTCAAGCCCAGCTCATCGTGAAATGCGCGCGTGTGTGTGCGTGGGGTGGTGGTGGTGGGGGGGGTCGCGCATTGCTGCCAGATTCCAGTTGCCCCCTGCGCCCCGAACCTCGGCCTGGCACCGTGGAAGGGCATGGTCGGATGTCGTGGCAGACGAGACCTCCTCTGAAACTGCAGCCGACGAAAGGGAAAAGTTGAGGGTCCGAACATGGACAATGCGTTCGGGGTCGCGTCTCTGTCCAGGGTCGGGAAGGTGGGCGCGGGGACCGCTGGGGCACCGGTGAAACGTCCTTTCGGCAAACAGTTCCAGGTCCACAAGTAGAAGGCGAGGCTGACGCGCTGCCCGCGCTAGTTCATCAAGCCGATGGGGGTTCGCGCAGGGGGCGAAAGTAGGAGTCGGCCGCGGGGCCCGCGCGAGCGCGGCGCCCATTCCGATGACCGCCGCGGTCTCGCTGGAGACCGACCTCGCGCGAGAACTGATCTCGCCCGAGCTGCCCAACAGTAACTCCCATGGCTTTGAAGGGCGCGGGTGGGCTGACCCCGCCAAAACGCGGCAGCATTCTGAATGTTCGCAGCGCCCGCGCAGCGGTTGCCCCGGCCACGTCGCGGGCCCCCAGCCGCAGTCACGATGGGGGGCGGTCGCATTCTGCCTGTCCCTGCCACTCGGGAGGGGGGGGGGCGGGGGGCGCAGTCACGCAGTGGCCATCGATGTGCTCTGGAAGATCGAAACACTCCTGCAAATGTGACATATTCCAAAGGACTTTTCTCCGGGTCTCTCAGGAAATCGAGCGCCCCCTTCGTCGACGGAGCTCTCAAAGTCCAACCGATGACGCAGAAATTGTAAGGCATCTTGCGCCGCCACCATCTCCTGATTGCAGAAGAAGAGCCCCCTCCTCATGGCCCCCCCGCGGCCTCGATCTCCGCGAGGTGGTCGGGGAGGGCCAGGTCCACGTTGAGGTCGTGCGGGGGCGCATCCGCAACGGCTGAGGTCTTCATCTCGTGGGGCACGCGGTCGCGCTCGAACAGCTTGGGCGGCGACTGGGAAGGAAGACAGCCTCGCCCCTGTCATTCTTGATGTCGAACACGGCGGCGTGGTCGTGCTGCGGGTGGGCTGGAAAGAGAACTTTGACCGCTGGCTCGAGCACCTGAATGGACTTGACCTGCTGCTTGCTCACTCCGACATCCCAGCCTAGCTTGTCTATGCCATGCCAGAGGTGTTGGTGATCTGCTGGAACATCCAGCCCTGGGCCGCCTTCTGCATGTGCCACATCTGATTCGAGCTCGGAAAGATAATGCGCACACGCTCGCAATAACCGCCAGCCGGGATGACTTTCTCATATCGGATGCGTGTAGCGTCTAGCTCCGATTTGACCTGCGAGACCTATGCGTCGCATGACTCATACATGAACCCACCAATGCACACCACTTTGCGTTCACACCATTTCGCGTTTTCCCATGGGCACGAAAGCTTCTGTGGACGCCGAAGGGACAGCCGATGCCAGTGTTGCCGAGAAAAGAGCAGACGCACCAGACGCTGGCGTGGCACCGCCACGTCGCGGGGCTGACTCGAGGGCTGCTCGACACAAAGTTGGTTGGTTTCGTCTCTATGGTGGCGATTGGTGACCTCACGCCGGTAACTTCACGCTGGATATTGTCAATATTGACGTCCTGCGGGGTGGGCGCCTCCTTGATCATGCCACCCATAACCCCCAAGATCCTCATCTGTCCCTCATCACATTCCTCCGAACTCCCATGTATGTGGGCAGCGGCGGCAGGGTCGAAGGGAACGGGTCTTGTCCTCGGTCGGCTGGCGGCTGGGGCGCCGTCCCCCATGAGGTCGTCGTCATTGTCGGAGATTCCGGAGCGCGCGCCGACGCCTGGCACAACGAAGAAGGGCACACTCGGAAGTCCGTGGTGCGCCACCAGAAAGTGGTGAAGGATAACGAGAAATGGAAACCTGGGGCTCCTCGGCCAAAAGTGGCTTGAGCCAGTATGGATGATAATGATGAGGAGGAGGGGGAGAAGGAGGAAGAGAAGGAGGAGGAGGAGGAGGAGGACGAGGAGGAGTGGTGGTGGGCGGCCGCCTGGCGGCAAGCGGGGCCAGGTCGGTTGCCGGGCCGAACGGCTCCCCCTCTGGCGGCAGGATCGCCTCCTCGCGGAGAGAAGGGGGGGGGGGGGCGGAGGGGGGATGGGGTGAGGGGTTAGAGGAGGGGGGGGGGGGGAAGATGGGGGAATGGAAGGCGACAGGGAATGAGGGTGGAGGCGGGCAAGGGACGAACGAAGGGGGGGGGGCGGGGGAGATGGAGGGAAGCTGTTCTCATCGCCAAGGCCGCGTCCTGGCGCAAGAGCGAATGAGCTGCGAGGAGCAGCCTCACACTCGTATCTCTGGAGCGAGGGGATGGGAGAGAAGAGGGTGAGGATAGGAGGGGGCGGGAGGTGATTAGGAGAGAGAGGGTGACAAGAGAGTGGAACACAGAAGAGCGACACGATCTTTTGACCCCGTCTATGAGGCTTGGTTCCTCAATGCAGGTCGATCCTAGGGGGCCCCTGCGGGGATCAAAGGTCGAAGGCCTCGACGGTTTTTGATATCGGAGTCACTCTTCATCCTGCTCCTCCTCCTCATCCTTTTCATTATCCTCCTCTTCATCCTCCTTCCGCCTCCTTCGTTTTTCTCTGCCTTCTCCTCCTTTGTCTTCTTCCTTTTCCTCCTTCTCCTCCTCCTCCTCCTCCTCCTCCTTCTCCTCCTCCTCCCCCTCCTCTTCCTCCTCCTCCTCCTCCTCCTCCTCCTCCTCCTCCTCCTACTTGTCCTCCTCCTTCTCCGATTCCTCCTCCCTCCTCCCTCGTCGTCCTTCTCCTCTTTGTCCTCCTCCTCCCTCATCCCTCCTCCCTCCTCCCTCCTCTCCCTCCCTCCTCCAATTTACCCCCTCCCTCCTCCTCCTCCTCCTCCTCCTCCTTCTCCTCCTCCTCCTCCTTCTCCGCCCTCCCTTTTCCGAAAGCCATCTAGGGAGGGGTCGCCCTCTCCTTGGGGGCCTCCAGCTCGGCGGCGTCATGCTGCAACAGTGCCAGGGCCGACTCCGCCTGGGCGGTCGGCGCTTTATGTTTATGCACACCCCTCCCACGCCTCCACGAGGGGGATGCCGAAGAGAAACGCAGCGGAAAGTATATGTCATTACTTTCGGCTTCTGGCGGCCATCGGCGGGACGCAGGACCGTCGAACAACTCAAGAGGCAAAGCCGGTCTCGGGGAGTGGATCGAGAGCTCTCGGGGTCCACGTTGTGAGAAAACCCATGGCGTCCTCTGACCCTCTAGAATGGTGCTACAAAGCAGCCCCTCCATACCCGTAGACCGATCTAGACTGTGTAACACCTTGAAATCTAGACGTCGAGGTCCTGGCGCTATCTGTTTTAAGCCCTCCTGAAAAAGGTCAGGGGCGGGGGTCAAGTATAGAGGCCTCCTAGATGGGGTCCGACTAGATGGGGTCGGAGGATCGCGCCGCATCGCCGATACACCGGCGATACATCGCCGATGCATCGGCGATGCATCGGCGACATCGGCGATGCATCGGCAACGCCCACGTGGAGAAATCCAGGCTCCGCATCGAGCCGCATCTCCGATGCATCGGCGATGCGGCGCGATCCTCCGACCCCATCTTCTCGAACCCCATCTAGGAGGCCTAGAAAGCAGGGGGGAGGACTGGCTCGGGGGGGCGACGTATGCCGCGGGCCAGCACCAAATCCTTAGATATACTATTGGGCGAAGAATTAAGCATAGTCACCATATATATATATATGAAACACATATAAAAAATGAAAGGCATTGAATATATATATATATATATATGTATAAAGATATGTATACGTATGCGTGTATATATATATATATATATAATTCAAACATGGTTAAAACAACGTCCCCAGACGACTTTTGACTATTTTTGAACGTTCCTCCTGTGGAGGGACAGGCCCGACTCAACGACAGGGGGTCGATGTCCACCCCGCCCGGGCCGGCCACGAGCGGCCAGGCCCAAAGACACACGCGGCGCCTCGACGCGAAGTCGAGAGGAGGCGGCCCCGTCGCCCTGTGTTCTGCCTCCTGGAGGTGAACCTTCGGGCCTCGGGCCGGTCACGCCACCTCTCAGGATGAGAAACCAACTGCCTGGGGAGGCGATGAGGAGGAGGAGGAGGGGAGGAGGAGAGAGGCGAAGGAGGAGGAGGAGGAGCTTCGGCTGGGCGAAAGGGAGGGCTATCACGAGGGGGGACAGGGGTGGGGAGGGGGGGGGGGGGGGGAGAATCAGCTCACGCAACTTATCTTCCCGGCGCCTCCCGGCGCCGGAGGCGGCCACGTACCGAGGAATCGGCCCCTCGGTGGGGCTGAAACCAGCTGCATGCAGCAGATTTCGTACCCCCCCTTTCCCTGTCCCCCCCTTTCGTCTGGCCCGACAACCCTGGGGAGGGGGTCAAGAGCTCCGGAGCCCAGGCGTGTGACAATTCTGAGCGCTGGATATCTGGACCAGGGGACTGATGAACCAACTTCTGGCCGCTGGAAGCCAAGTTTCCATCCACGCGTAGGTCGGGCCTGTCCCCCTACAGGGGGATTTTGGACGAAAAATGAAAAATACAAAACAAAATATTGAAAAGATGCCCAAAAATACACCAAAATAGTCCCCAGACTATTATTCCCCCTGTAGAGGGACAGGCCCGACTTAAATCCATGCCCCTTCCTCCCTGGAGTCCAGAGCTGGAGGGAGCAGCGGGGGCCACAAGGAGCCCTGGAGAAGGCACGAAGCCATTTGCTTGGGCCTCAGTTGCGCGAGGAGCCCCTGGAAGGACCCGAGGAAGATCGAGCCCCTCTCGAGGCAAATTCGGACCTCTGTCCAGCCTGATGGGCAAGGGCCCGCGAAAGGACACGAGACCCTTCGGAGGGCACCCTTGATTTGGCAGGGTCCACCTACGAATCAAACTAGACTGCCCCAAAAATTCGGCTGTGCGGATACCGCCACCGCGCTGCCATCAGAAGCGCTGAATACGGGACGAAGGGGCCTTTTCTGGCCAAGGCGAGCCTCGGCGACGAATAGGGTCCCCAATCTCAGGGCTGGACCTAACCGTTGTTTTTCGTTTTGTTTTCGTTTTGCTCTGCCTGTTTTCCTGTACCTCCCTCCCAAAACAAAACAAAAAAGCACAGCCGAAGTCCAGCAAAACAGCGTTTTGGTCCAGCCCTGCCCAATCTGGACCTGAGGAACGGCCCAAAAATCACAGCCCGAGCCCAAACAGGTTTTTAGTTCAACAGCTTGGTTGCAAGGCTTCGATCGCAGGCCGCCTCCAGGAATGCGTCGTCCGCCTCGGAGCCCTGTGCGCCCGACCTCAGCGGCGTCTCGCCCGTACACCGGCCGTCGTCGTGGCCAAGGCTGTCGCAACCACCGTCGTCGCGCCGTCGCCGTTGCCGCCGACGCGCCGTTGCCGCCGTCGGCGTCGCCACCGTTGCCGCCGCCGTCGCAGTCGCCGTCGCTGCCGTCATCGTCGTCGTTTTCATTAGCGTCGAAGTGGTCGTCCTCGATGTGGCCGCCGCCGCGCCCTCGCCGTCGACGCCGTCGCTGCGGCCGCCGCCGCTGCCGTCACCGTCGCCGTCGCCGTCGCCGTCGTCGTCGTCGTCGTCGTCGTCGTCGTCGTCGTCGTCGTCCTCGTGCTTTCTTCTCGCTACTCTCCTCCAGCTCATCCGCGCTTCTTCCTCTCGCTCCTTCCCTCCTCCTCCGCGCCCCCGGCTCGATCTCATTCTCCTCGCTTTCCTCACTACCTTCGCGCCCGCATCTCACCTCCCTTCTTCGTGCCCCTCCTCTAGAGCCTCCCTCCATCGCGCTCCTCTCTCCTCCTCAACGCCGACGCCGACGGTGACGGTGACGACGACGACGACGACGACGACGACGACCACGAACACGATGACGACGACGACGACGACGACGACCACGAACACGGTGACGACGACGACGGGGTAGAACATCAGCTAACAGGGAAAACCGACGGAAGGGCGACGCCATGAGGAACAACAGGAGGGAAAGAGAGAAACTGAGAGAAGGGAGGAGAACACGCTATAGAAACAAAGGGAGGGGGGAGCCAGGGATCACGTCCTCCTCCTCCTTCTCCTCCTCTTCCTCTTCCTCCTCCTCCTCCTCCTTCTCCTCCTCCTCCTCCTCCTCCTCCTCCTCCTCCT